ACCCAGTTAATTTAAGTTAAAATATCACACAAAATAACATGAATGCCCATATTTTAAAGCCTTTGATTTCAAGACAATCCCCATCCCACTTCAAATGAAGAAAAAAAATGAAGTAAACCCTGGAAATAATAATATAATAATAATCCTTGCATTTGATATAGCGCCTTATCAAATAAAATGAACAGAATTTCTTGAGCTGGTCCAATGAAGTCGTGAGTAAAGGCACTGTTCAGTGCAGTAACAGGCCATGCATGTAGGAACATACAGAACATTAACATTCCCAAAAGCTTTCAATTCACATTGCAAATTACTGTATTATGAAAGAGAAACCACTGTGAGGTGTACAGTAATCACAAAAGCTATGATCCTAAAGCGGGTAGAGGTGCCCATCCTATGAAATCTGCTTTTATACTGTCAGTAGCAAAGTTACTTTACTTCCAGCAGTAGACTTGTACTCACAGTTCCACATTGCATCAAATTGGAACTGTACAAAGCACAAATCCTGACTGAAGTTCACGTACACAATGACCCCTATGCACACTGCTCAAATTAAGAGTTTTCATTGATTAATGTTATTAAAAGGATCTATCGCACAGTGAACACTTTAAAACTGTTTAAAAAGCTCTTGGATGGTTCCATGCAGACCGAGACTGGTGTAACTCACATTTGCCACAATGGCTTATATTGCACAATGTGAACTGCGCTAACCATCGGTGGCCGGGCCTTCAGCCCCTAGGCTCTGGAACTCCATCCCCCAGTGCCTTCGCCGCCTCCTCCCTTTCCTCCTTCAAGGCCGGTCTCAAGACCTTTCTGTTTGACCGTGCCTTCAGCTCCCCTCTCGACTCTCTACCCCCTCCTCGCTCCCTCCCTTCCCTCCCCTCACCCTGACCATTTGCCCCCTGCTCGGGTCCCGACCCAACTGTCCAGCACCTTGGGACGTCCTCCCGACGTGAAAGGCGCTCTATAAATGAAATCTTGTTGTTGTTGTTGTTGTTGCACTCATTTTAAGCCATCATCTCCTGGTTGTGTTAAGGCAACTCCCTACCAACCTGCCCGCTCCCTCCATTCAGTCGTCTCCAGCCTGCTCCATATCTCCCGCCAGACCCGCCCTACCATTGGTGGCTGGGCTTTCAGCCTCTCTGCCCCCACACTCTGGACCTCCATCCCACAGTCCCTTCGCCTCTCTTCCTCCCTTGCCTCCTTCAAGGCCGGTCTCAAGATCTTCCTCTTCGATCATGCCTTCAGTCACCCTCCTACCTCTCTGTCTTCCCTCACCCCTACCCCATCCCTCTCTCATGCTCAGGTCCTGACCCCTGACTGTCCAGCGCCTTGGGACGTCCTCCCGACGTGAAAGATGCTCTATAAATGTAATTTTGTTGTTGTTGTGTTCAGTATGATTCACACTGCAATTGGTAAGGTGTGCTGCTGGTTGTAAACATGACCCACTTTTTCACTGTGCAAGGCCAACCTGATTTCGGCAGGAGATCCTCACCAATGCAGGACTAAGATGCTAACTTTCCAATGCTAACTTTCCCAAAACCCATTGCCATGGTTACCATTAGAAATTAAGCAATACCAAAACAAGACAGTTTGTAATTAGTGTTTCTCTGAGATAATCAGAGTTGTCCTGATTCTCTTGGGCCGTGACATTTAGTGCCTGCGCTTTACAGAGAATTAACATATTGCCAGAAAGTCTGAGAGAGAGAAAGGTCAGCGTATAGCTGGACAATTAGCTACATTAGACATGCTGAAACATTACACACCTTACCCTTTTAGAGTTTATAGTTTTACAAAATTGTTACGTTCATATGACACCTTCCCAGTGCTGTTCTGGGGCTCGAAGATTTTTCCTGTTCTTAACCATAAGATCATTTTGTCTTAAAATTTAAGATTGTGCAGAGTTTGGGAAAATTCATAAGTTCAGGCCAAATGTACAACCTGGTTTCCTCGCAGTTCTTATGAAGAAAACTGGATTCCAAATTAAAATTGAGTTTAAGATTTTTTAAAATCCATGCACAGGGTCAAATTTTGAATCAATGGCTCTAAGGATAAGGGTCACAAAAGTGTGCAACCCTCAGCTGTCCTTCCTTACTCACATCCGATGCTTGACCAGGACCGTCTACCTCCACCTCTGTCATACTGCCCGTCCTCCAACTTTCAGTCGCCTTTCTCCCCCTCTTATACCTGTGCTCACCTCTTGCTCACGAGAGTTGCTCACTTCTGAGTGATCAGAACACTTTCCATCTCTGCCTTTCAACCATGTTATGCCAGGATCCCAATGTGTATTTTCTAATTTGCTAGAAGAAAGAAAGAATTTGCAATTTTCTAGGATCTTATCACATTGAAATGTCTCAATATAGTTGACTCAATAAAAGATATGGAGTGTAGTTGCATGCATTCGGCTCCCATTTTGCAGCCGCCCTGCCTTGTACCATAAAGGAAAGGCAGACATGAAATAGAATTGAACATGTTGATGAATTTGCAAATGAACCCGAAATAACCTGAATGGGTCATTGCTGTTCAAGCCTGGTTCAGATCTAGAATAATCATCCTGTGGTTAGTGCTTTAGGTCCTTCAACATATTACAGTGAGGAACCCATCAAATGGCTAGGCTTAATCTGTTTCCATGCTTTACAAAATGTACAAGTTTATCATTTGTTCGTGCTGTGGGTGTGAATTTCACTGTATGCCTCCTCAGTTTCTAATTTTAGTCTCAGACATCATCACTGAACCTTTTAAAAACATCCTTCAGGGCAAGCTTCAAGCTTGGATGTTTGGCTCAGCCTGTTCAACCATCCACGATGAAGCCTGCTTGAAGTTAATTGCCCCGCCTCCTGCCTGAAGTGTTCCTGAACTCTCAAAATGCATGATATTCTATTACCCTCACAAACATTTAACACATTAGCCTTTCAATGTTGTACTTCAAAGAAATATATTCCTTTGTATAATTCTGACATAACAACACCAGAATCTCCAGGTTTAATACGTTAGATGGGAACATTTGTGGTTCGTGCATCTACTCTTGCTTGATGAATGTCTGAATGTCAATCTATTATACGAAACAGACACTCTAATTTTCCAGATACAACACTGGGTAGAAATTCATCTTGGGTTCACATTCACTCTAATTATGCATCATTGTAGAACATCCAGCATTTAACACGTTTCTAAACGCAGACTTAATTTTGCAGACAATTTTATTGAAGTTCTTTTTAAGAGCTTCAAAGTCAAGACTGAATTCAACAATTTGCCGAATGTTGGCATGATTTGAAACACTGAGAAAATAGAGTAAATCTATAGCCAGCTGAAATGTCTCCAACCATTATTAGGAACTTTCACTCTAGTCCATGGTGTCAAAACCCCAGCAGCACAAAAATGGTAATCATTATTGGAGCTTTCTAAAGCTTCCACAAAGCGAATGCACCAGTCTGTGCAGGAATATTGAAAAAATTATTGTTCCACTAAACCATCTGTGTGGATCAATTCAATTACTTGGAGCATTCAGAGGAGATCGAGGTCACTGGCTTTAGTGATTTGAATTGCTTAGTTACAGCCTTTGTGCACAGGGCTCCATTCAGAGTTTATTCTCTCGATATAAGCTCTAAAGTATTGTTCCTGTCCACATCCACCACTTATTCCGCTAAAAAGTTGAAGTAAATTTGCTTGCTTTCCACATGTAGTTCAGTGTACAAAATGTACAAGTAAAATATCGTCATTATGATGAGTTTGGATCTGTACAAATACCAATCTGGAGGTAGAAATTCCACCGGATCTAGATTGACTATTTATTGGAACATTTCAGAGTCTAGAATTTGTCAAATTCTTAAACGCAGGTTCAATTTTGAAGCTGTAATTTCTTTTAGCAAACAATGAAAACTGGCTTTGAAGTTAGACCCAAGCCAACAATTTGCCAAATTCTGTCACTGAAATGATAAAAAAAAGTAAGTCTGGACGCAAATGGCATTTCTGCCCCCACTGATCTATTTACTATTGATGTGATGTTCCTTGATGTTATTTTGTGGCTTTACCAAGGAAGCACTGACTGGGGTGATGTGCCAGAGATGAAAAGGTAGCTGAGCTACATGAAGCAACAGTCATTTTTTATGATCTTGTACCTTGGGAATTTGGCAGCTGCTGTGCAATAAGTGGCCCCCGCTGTCACAAGAGAGAGAGAGAGACACACAGCAATGATCTACCATCAGTTTGAGAAATCTGTTCTTTTAATTATTTTTTTTCCCGGGGATAATCTGTTCAAATATAGCAATTTAGGCTCCTGTGTGGTTAACCCTTTCCTCAAAGATCCCTTTCTCTGCTCGTGGTCATCTATCTGTTACTTTGCTTTCTATATCCCCTTTGAATTTCCTGAACACTTTCATGGACTTCTGATAACAGCCAACTCTCATTTCAGTTCATCCATTTAAAAGGAGATGCACAAAGCTGGCATTGTATTGTGGAGCCGCTGTGGTTCAGAGTTATTAACGATACGGATGAAATTACAATTTATATTCAAGAGGGAAAGAATCCTCCGAGGGTAGTGCTTTAGTAAGAATATATATATACACACACAGAGAGTGAAACCAACTGCAAAGCATGTGGGCGATAAGCCTCAGTTCAGTCTGATTAAAGTCACTCGCTGGATACCTGTTGTGGAAGATATATGCACAATAACAAAGCGTTGAGAGCTGTACAAGAGCAGCAATTGGTGCAGTTGAGCATACACTGTACGTGACTGTTGCTAGGATTGTTTGACACACAGCACTGATTGTAGGGCTTTGTTCATTGCTTACTTGTATATTTCACAATAACCACTTGATCAATTGCATTTCATTTCAGAGTGTTATTATTATCTTCACTCACCAAGTGCTGGAATGGACCTTTCTTTGCACAGGACAGTGGGGCTTGGGATTCTATGACACGTGCTCACGAACAGAAGAAAAGGAAGCAAGTGGGATATAAAGTCCTCCAGTGTAACATGGCTTCTGTTTTCCCTTTTTCCAAAGGAATCCACTTGGCCATTCTTGTTCGGAATGAATGTGGTTCCGGCCCTGGTGCAACTCGCTATCCTGCCCTTCCTCCCTGAAAGCCCCAAATATTTGCTGTGTGAAAAGAACGACTATATTAAAGCACAGAAAGGTAAAGTCACAGCAATGCAATTCAGTTCTGATAATACAACATACAGCAACCACTTGCATTTCTATAGCGTCCTTCACGCAGGGTAGCATCTCAGAACGCTTAATGGTGCTGTTTAATGCCAAGCCTGGGAGAAAGGGGAGGTAACTGTAGGCCTGATCAAACAGGAAGGTCTTCAGTTGTGATCTTTTTACATAAATCAATATACGTAGCACCTTACTTGTCGGGAAGATGTCCCAAGGCATTTAACAATACTGGCTTGGCACCATAAGTTCATTCATCGCAAACTAAATGGCAAAGCAAGAATTGTGAAAACGTCTTGTCAGCTTTGTAGAAAAGATGTAATAATTCATTGACATGAGAACAGAGTTGAGAGACTCCTAGTACAAACAGAGTTCTGTCTGTTCTAAGAGCTGAGTTCCAAGGTATGGGAACACTATTGAAACTCTTCTCAAATAGATGATTTTAGTTTTTTGTTTCTTTAATTGTTGTGTGGATGTCTCAAAGTGATTCACAGGATATCCTGTAATGTGCAGTGACTGTGTGTTTTGTGGGTAAATACAGCATTCAATTTGCACACAGCAGTGTCCCACAATCAGCAGTGGAGTAAATGACCAATTTTAATTGGGGGATTATTGACCATGATACTGGGAGCTCTTCTCTTTTCAAATAATGCCATGGAATTTTTAGCATTCACCTAAACAAGCTGACAGATTCTCAGTAACATCTCATTCAAAAGACAGCGCCTCTAACATTGCAGCACACCCCATTTATTTCATTTATTCTGTGTAGTAGGAGAATTTAATCAAGAACAATACTATACTTAGCTCTGAAAGTAGGTAGTGGGGAATTGTCAATGTAATGCATAATGCAATGAAATATTCATGGTAGGAATATTCAATTCACTGAACTGTGCCAGTAACAATGGCTCCTGTTTGTAGCAGGATGTGGCAGGTCATTTAATAATATCTGGCTATGTTAGGTGAAAACCTAAGTATAATCCACAAGATTATCGTTTTCAGTAAGAAGAAATGAATATTCCTTATCCCTGTCCTAACCTGTTTTGCTCTCATTTTAAGATTAAGTTCTCTTGTAACTGATGGGCCACCAGGGGGAGAAAGCTGTTTTATTGTGTCCCTTCATAATCCTAAACAGCTGTCAAATCATCCCTCAGTCTTTGCTTTGTGTTAACTAGCTCTCTCAGTTAGGGAGTCATTAACAATTCTTTAAAGTAGTGCAATTCTACAATACAATAGGTGGGCGACTGATTACTGGAAAAGCTTCCGCTATCAGGGAAATAGAATGAAACTCGTGTCTTTAGTATCTGCAAATGAGTTGGGTGTTAGCATCAAAAGGTCCGAATTTTCTTTAAGTTACAATACCTGAGATAGCACCCAGCATATATGACTCTCAGGCATTCATGAGGAAGAAGGGAATAGAAGGGTATGAGAGGGGAATAGCGAGAGGAGATTGGGAGCGATGGAGGCCCCTGTAGAATACGAAGACCGAAATGGACTAGTTGGGCTGAAAGGCCTGTTTTGATGCTGTAACTTTTATATAATTCTATGTAACTACATATTTTCAAAATACCTTAGCAGGTACAATATAAAATAGGAGAAACTTAAAGCTGTTTCTAGGACAAGCAAATTAAATCCCAAACTATGGAGTGTCCTGGACGACAGGATGAGGCAAGGATCTCCTTGCCAGCTCACACCAGTGTACTGTACCAAGGCTTCAAACACATGTACACACACATCTGTACCATCAAACATCCTGCCAACACTGATTGCTTTAGCATCATGTGTATGGAATAGTGAGATAGTGGAAGGCTGCCATTAATCCCTGTAGACTGCACCTCAACCCAAGTCGTCGCCTCCAGGAAGGTAAAAGGAGAAGAGATGGGAGAGAATAATATGTACTGTGTATTATAATATAATGTGGGTGCGGCAGAAGTGAAAATAGTGTAGCTCTTTGTTCTCTTCCTGAAGTGTTAAAAGAAAATTGTCTAGCTATGGCAGAGTCAAATTATAAGGTACAGATTTTGACATTTATCAAACAAAGGAATATTATTCCAAAAAGTTACCTGTGGATTACAAAAAAAAGCTACCTTTGTAGTTCAACCCATGAGTCATTTCTCTAATCTAGAAGCCAGCTTTAAATAAATAGCATTTATAGAGATAAAAGGGCTTCAATGTGGTATTAGAAACACAGGAGCAGGTAGAGGTTGTTCAGCCAATTGAGCCTGTTCCACCACTTTATTAGATTTTGGCAAATATTTTAATACTAATGCCCAATCCCTTTGTGCCATATCCTTTAATACCCCCAATAGCATCCGTTTCATTCCTGCAGGCCAGAAGGGTAATTGAAAAGGAAACTGTGGCAAAAATACTTCTAGCCTAAAAAGAGCAACTGAGGCAGAATGTAAGCAAGCCTAAAGTTTTATCAGGTTTCAAATCAGAAGGCTTAACCAAAACACAATGATTGAAGGAGGCACAAAGCCAGGCACAAATGAGGGTCAGTGAGGAAGAGTCAAAGGGGGCAAGAGGCAGCAGGAAATGAGAAGAGAAGGAACAGCAAAGGAGACAGGGAGAAACGAAAAGGAAAAGAGGGTGGAGGCAAAGAGAAGTAGAAGAAACAAAGAAAGAGAAATGGTAAGGTTAAAAAGTAGGAGACGGAGAAGAGAGAGGCAATGAGATTTGAGAAAGAAAACAAAGATGGCAAGACAACAGGGAGGATAGTAAATTCTTGCTTATTTTACCAGGGAATCTGCAAGAAAGAAACATGGGAAATGTTGGAAAATGCAGGTAAAGGATGATTGTCCGCAGAAAATACTTCATTATAATTGAGAAGCACTAGAATGAACTGTCATCAATCCATTTCTCTTGTTTGAATAATATATTTTGTTACTTTTACAGAACATCATAGAGTATTAAAATACAGTCAGCACATAAAGAACAAAAATATTCATAGAACTTGTGTGTGTTTGATATTTGAGTTATAAAAGAAAGTCAGTATTTTGCAGTCAGGTGAAAGTCTGGTTAACTAATTGTACTGAATTTATTCAATTTTTGCAATATGTTCACAAACACGGAACTTGTGTGTTTCGTTGTGGTGGTGCAATTATAACAACGAATATTTTTAAACATATCTTATTTGATTTTTTAAAAAATATATCTTCTTTGTATCCTAATATTAATATCAGCCTGGCTCCGTTGGTTGTACTCTCACCTCTGAGTTAAAGGTTATGGATTGAAGCCCTTTCTCAGAATTTTGAACTCACAATCTAGGCTGGCATTTCCATGCAGTGCTTGGGGGGGGTGTTCATTGTTGGAGGTGCTGTCCTGTGGATGAAATATTAAAATTAGATCCCATCTGCTTGTTCAGGAAGATGTTAAAGATCCCAATACACTATTTGAAAAGAGAAGTGAGTTTCTTTCTGTGTCCTGGCCAGCAATCCCCCAATTAAAAAATAGTCATTCACTTCATGGCAGTTTGTGGAGCATTGCTGTGCGCAAATTGGCTGCCTACAAATGCATAGTCACTATACTTTACAGTGGAATTCTGTAAAGCATTTTGAGACATCTCAATGATGTAATAAGGTGCTTTATCAAACGCAAGAATTATTATCATAGTCGATGAGTTGACAGACCCTGGCTGCCTGTTCAGGTGGATGTTAAGGATCCCATGGTACTATTTGAAAAGAGAAGGGACTCCTGGTGTCCTGGCAAACAATCTCCCAAATAAAATTGTTCATTCACTTCATTGCTGTTTATTACACATTGCTTTGTTCATATTGGCTCTCACATTTGCCCACAAAATACAGTTATTGAACTTCACAGTTTATCCTGTGAAGTAATTTGCAACGTCCTGATGTGAAAGGTGCTGTATTGAAGATTATTATTCTATTATTATGCATGCAAGTGTATTAAATTATACAATTTACTGCCAATTAAAATAATTACAGGTGATTCTATATTTGAACATGGTTAACAGATAAGAACATAAGAACATAAGAATAAGAAGATAGGTTATTAGCTCATTTTAGCTCCCATTGCCATTGCATCATTATCAGTAGTACATGCGCATTGAGGGGCTGAATCCAAAAATGGATCCCAGTACATAGGTAATTGATAATGCTTTGATTAGTTTTCTTTATTGTACTGTGGGCAAAGATCATTGAATAATCAGACCATAGAGATGCGTACTACTTGTACAGATGATAATAATCCTTGCATTTGATCCACAAATGTGATACACCTCAGGCAATTTTAAGCTTCAGTCAATCTGACAGTTTTTACACAGTTGGGTATTTCACGTTATGTTTATCATCCTCTGATCAGCATAGGCTGACCCTGCGCTTATCTTAGCTTTCTCTGTTAAGATCTGTCAAAACTGTCACCCAAAGGGTTTCATCCAGACATCATCAATGAAATGGCAAACTGGCATGGGTGTCATTGCAATCCATAGTTTATTTAGAGAATCATAAAAGATCAAAGTAACTCATTGGGAATCTGTGCTGAGGGAAGAGATTACAGAGAGTACAGCATTGCGAGGGCTGATGTTAAGTGTTCTGGGATGCTAACCTGCATGAAGGTCGCTATATAAGTGAAAGTTGTTGTTGATGCCAGATAACCAGATATCTCATCACATGTATTGGTGAGTATGATGCTCTGGGAAGTTTCTTATGTTCATTTTCATCTATCCTCAATGGGAGGGTGGGTTGGGGGAGGGAGGGCAAAGATAAGCAAGATCTCTTTGGGTTGGTGTTGGCTGCAAATTGAAATGCTTGGCAGTAAAATATTACAATCGATTCCATCTTCCATGGTGGTCTTGATCATCCTGTGCCTTAGCCAGACGGTTTTAGAGCACCTCTGATGACGGACTAGCCAGCCTGGATTGTTAGCATGTTTGGAAGAGCAGGCCTCAGGGGTGCTGGACAGTAGCTTGGCTAGAGTGGAAATTTGGGTGGGTACCAAGTTATGGTGGCCTAAATTTCTATTCCT